CACCGAACCGGCCGGGCCCCCGGCGAGCGGCTGCGGCGGAGCCCGGCAGGACAAAGCCGGCTCTAAGCAGCCCTCCACAGAGAGACTTTGTCCTGCCGGGGCCCGGCCGCCCCTGCCGCCAGCCAATCATGCCTGTAAACGCCCCGGAGAGGCGAAGAAACACTTCCATTCTCCCTGGGAAGAAAAGAATTGTTATTCCCCATTTACAAAAATATTTCTTGTGTTCTGCCCTTGGCAGCGGCCAGCAGCTGACGCCTGTCACAGGATAAACGGGAGCGGTGGGGCCGCTGGGCCGAGCCCGGGCAGCATTCCTGACGTGAGGCCTTCAGACTCTCCACAGCCCTCCTCTGCAGACAGACGTGCACCAGACATCTCCATCTTTCCTGTCAGTCTGTTTTTCAGGAGGATGTGGATGTGAAAGCCTCCAAATAGCCCACGGACTCCTCACATCCACAGCCTTGCTCAGATTGCCTTCCACATCAGTCTTGAAAGTCCACACTGCTGCTATTAATTTAAAGGCCAAATTGCTTGCTTTGGAGGCTGTAATTACATATTCTAAAAAAAACCCATGTTACTGAGTTAACTATTCCCAAGAGCTTGCAGAAATGAGTGGTCACTAAAAGCACTAAGGAAGAGAAAGAAGATGGCCAGAAATTCAACCACATCATATTCAGAAATAAAGATTTCTTTCCTAAGTACTGCTGTCTTCCTGGCTTTATGCTATTTTGGGTGGATGAGGCAATACTTGAATCAATCTTGGAAGGAAGAAACTAAGAATGAGAACCAACTGTAAGGGAAAAATTTTCTTAAGCCAGTGTTTAAAAAAAAAAAAAAAAAGAAAAGAAAAAAAAGAAAAGAAAAGAAAGCAGCACTTTATTTTGCATTGCCTACACTCAAATTTGAAGACAATAAGCCATAAAATGCCAAAGCATGAACTTTGCTCTTCTTTCTTGTTGTTCCTTCTCTCAGTTTTACAAGTGAGTGATACCATACAACTTTTTTGCAACACCAGCGGTCCAGTACATGACCTGAATCTGAGGTCCTGAAGTCAGGACCACTTAGAATAATGAAGCACAGCACAGCCCCCGGGATCCTGTGATAGCTTCTGGTACCAAGTATTTGTCCATGAGATACAGTATGGCAAGGCAAAACAGCTGTCACTCTCCAAAGTGGTGCACACCTCTGCAAGCTGCAGGCAGCATTCCAAAGAGCACTGTTTGGCAACATCAGCATAGAATGCTATGTCACAGCATTAGCAGAGAAATCCACTGTCCAGTACTTGTTGAAACTTCATGACACAGTGAAAACAACATGATTTGGCTGCAGACAACTACATAGTTTTAGATGCAAGAACAACGTTTGTTTTAATCAGGATGGCAATATACGTTTTGAAAAGAAGTGTCTGTCAGACATGAGGTGGGACAGGAAAAGGAGAAGCCACCAGAGCTCTTGACTGCCATCTCTTAACACATATACAAAGTTCATGGCAACATAAAGCAGAGCACCAGCCTCCTGAAGCTGCTTGCTTCCACACAGGTTCTGGTAAAAGATGAAGAGATACCACTTGATTTCCCCACCAGACACAGCTTCTTGGGGAGAGCAGGCAGTGCCAGACAGAGCAATCAGGGTCTGCCTATCCTGTCCAAGGCCAAGAATGGTTATTTGTGGTTCCAGACAAAAGCTGTGGCTTGACCTAATGCCTGCTTTTGGTATGTTCATCCAAGCCACAAGGTGTTATCACTAACTGGGGCTATACTTCCCTGATGTGTAGGGCAGCAAGCAGGGTTAGCACACTAAGCTAGCCTGAGGTAAGTTTAACACAGATGCAGGAACTGACCACGGTTACACAAGCCAGATAGGCTGGTTTTCAATCCCTCACCACAAAATACTATCTGGGAAGGGCCTATCAGTTTGTCTCTATTTAGTTTCCTGCAATAACAGATGGAGAATAATCCATGTGGGTTTATCAAAATATTTCCCATGTTTGTCTATTAAATTTCTCACTTTTAAGAGCCAAGTACACATATCCTTTCCCGCTTTCTTATTTTTTTTTTTCTCAAACTAAACAACTACTCTGCCACAATGGGAATATAAATCATCCCATACCAGCCTGCAAATGTGAGCACTAAGTGGCCTCTAGCACTCATGCTCACTCTAGAGCTTGGCCAAATGCCTGGATACTCATAGTGATGGCATGGACTGATGTAAGAAACAGTGTAGTAAAAATTTCCAGGTTTCTTATCCTGCAATTCAACCACCAAGAACAAACTTTCAGGCCTGCTCTTTGACTAAGACGTCCTCCCAGGATGGATATGCAGGAAGGCCTTATGAGAGGAAGAGGTTTGCAGCTAAGCAGCAAATGATACAAGTGTAAATTGTCATGAGAGCTGTGCAAACTCCTCCAGCACCTCAAGTTTCTGTCTCCTGTGGTAGGAAAAGGAGGAACACGTTCTCAAAGCATTCAATTCACCCAACAGCTATTCCATGGGAGTACAGCATCCCCATTCTCTTCCCTTGTAAGCCAAACCAAACCTGTGACCTGCAGCTCAAGCATGTTGTTTTCTATTAGGTATAACCTCTCCTGTCTCATCTCTGAAACACCAGACGCCCCGGTGTGGATACAGAATACCTATAAACTAGCCAAAACTCACTTGGGGCAGCAATGCAAGCAGAAGAGGGGCAGAAGCCCCAGCCAAATGGTCTGATGTGTCTGTGCAGGTCCCTGAGCACCCTGAGTGTTTGGAGGCATGGCTGCATGCACATTTCAATCATTGGTCTCCTTTTGAAATGGGAGGTGCAGGTCCAGTTGAAGTCAGTCCTGCAAGGGATACTGCATCATGAAGAGTACAGGCTGGGTATCAGCACCATGTCAAAATTATATGAACTGGGCTACACATTTGCAGCTCTGTTCTCTGCAGTATTTAGGACCAGCTATTCTGCACGTGCAATAACTACAAAACAGCATCATCTGCAGGGGATTTCATGAAATGTTACGTAGGTGTGCAAGAATTTTAAAATTTACTTCAATGGAAAGATTATTGGAACTAACTTTATGAAAAACATGCAAATGACTTACAGTGACCACATTTCCCATTGAGATTTTCAGTTTAAGTAACCAAGGGAGATGCTGTTTGCCTACAATCAGATTGAATCTATGGTCTGTGTAGCACTGATTTACAGAGATCACTTGCTGTAGCCTGAGTCATGCAAAACCGAGGATGAATTCCATAAATTATCTACTGCTACTGTGAATGAAGCAGTTGTGCCACTTCCAGCATCCACAGAGGGAACACCCATTTAACACTACACTAGAAGATGCAAATTTAAAACAAGCAGCTGCCC